CTATGGCAAAAATCTAAAAATAAAAATAAAATAAACTATTATATGGTAACTTGAATGGGTCTCAAATGCATGATGTTGAGTGAAAAAAAAAAGTAAATCTCAAAAGGTCACACATTGTACTATCCATTTACCGAATACTCTTAAATGGAAAAAAAATTATACAGATGTAAAATAGATTAGAGGTTGCTAGGGTCTAAAGATGATGTGTGTCAAAGGCTGAGGGTAACTACTGGGGTGGGGGAGGAGCACAAAGAGATCTTTGTAGAGTTGAAATAGTTCTGTATCTTGATTGAGGCAATGGCTACAGGAATCTCTACTTGATAAAATAACACAAAATTACACATAGTCCTTGAATCAATGTTAAGTTCCTAGTTTGATTCTGTACTATCATTATGTAACTACGCAGGAAACTGAGTGAAAGGTGCAAAGAATCTCTCTGTACTTTGCAACTTCCTGTGGGTCTATAATTATTTCAAAATACAGCTTCATTTTTGTTCTTTCCTTATTTTCGGAGAGATTTTTTGCTATAGGGCATGTGCGCTTGCAGAGAAACAGAGACAGAAGACGAGAAATCATCCCCCAGGGTGATGGCCATGCCGCAATCCCTTCTCCATTCTCCGCTGGGAATTTTGGGCACACATATACTTGGGCTTGGCATGAGTTTTAAGCCACCAGGTCCAGGACCTGAACTGTGGTCAACTATGTGGGAGTCCAGCAACATAACCATTCCGCCATCTGCTGCCCCCCCCCCTTTTTTAAAAGAGGCTTTTGCTATAGGGTGTGTGCGCTTACCAGAAAGAGAGAGACAGAGACGGTGTGAGGGAAAGTGAGAAATCAGCCCAAGGGAGAACGGCCACACTGCAATCCCTTCTCCTCCATTCTCCTCCTGGGATCTTAGGCATACATGCACACACGCCTGGCGTGATTTTCAAGCCTCCAAGTCTAGGACTCGAAACACAGTCAGCTATGTGGGAGTTCAGCGACATAACCACTACACCCTCCGGACCCCACTGCTTCCTTTTTTTTAAGTTTATTTCTTCCATGAGACAGAAAGAGAGAGAGAAAAAGAGAGGGCCTCCCAGTAGTGCCTTCATGCTACCAAACATCCCATCACAGCCAGTCCAGATCAGCACACAACCAGTGGGCTCAGAGAGGTCCCAAGACTGAAATCCAGGACTTCTGACACATGGATCTAGTTATACCACCACTGTGCCACAACCTGGCTCCTAATATTTTTTTTAAAGGAAAAGAATGGCCTAAAAAACAGCACAGATAACATATGCATATATTTTAAAAATAAATGCCACACTAGCATCTTGTTTCTTTGTGTGCACTGTGTGTGGTGTTTTAGACTGCTGTGCTGCCATCCCCACATAGCTTGGATTATAGGAGCATGCCACTGTGCCCAGCTTTTTAGGGTGGATCAGAAATTGAACCCACTGGGGACCAGCAGGTGGCGTGGTGGTTAAGGCGCTGGACACTCCCACATGGCTGACCAGGGTCCCAGTCTTGAATCCGGTGGCTTGCTTTCTCATTTCCTCTCTCTCTCATTCTTACCCTCTGTCTCTCTCTGGTCAAACTAAAAAATAAATGAATGAGTAAATAAAATAAAATTAAAAATTATTTAAAAAAAAAAGAAAAAAAGAAATTGAACCCACATTTCCCATGTGGCCTCAGCCTATTGAGAAGCAGCATTCAATGCATGATCTTATAGGTAGGCCCAAACTATTCATAGCTACTCTTTACTAGGATCTTTCACTCTCTACACTAAATATTTCTGATATCTCTATATTTTATACAATAATTGAGTATTACTTGGTATTCAGAAGGAAAGTTTTTTTGTTGGTTTTTAAGGTTTTTGCCATAGGATACATGCACTCACCAGACACAGAAAGAGACAGACAGTGAGAAGGAAAGTGAGAAATCATTCTCAGGGAGGATGGCCACACTGCAATCCCTTCTCCTACATTCTTCTCCTGGGATTTCAGGCATGCATGCATACATGTCTGGCATGATTTTCAAACCACTGGGTCTGGGACTCAAACTGTGGTTGGCTATGTGGGAGCCCAGCACCTTCATCATCAGGCTATCTACTGGCCCCAGGAAAAGGTTGTATTTTAAAAATTCTATTTACTTTTTTTTTTTTGGAGGTTTTTTTTGGGGGGGGCAGGGTGGGGGAGACACATAGGGCATACATGTTCATCAGAAAGAGAAAGAGAGAGACAGTAAGAGTGGAAAATGAGAAATTGCCCCCCTAGGCCCACAATCTCTTGCTCTCCATTCTCCTTCTAGGATTTTGGGTATACACGCACATGCACCCAGTGTAATTTTCAAGCCACCAGATCCGCAACTCGAACCACAGTTGGCCAAGTTGGAGTCCAACGCCTTAACCACCAACGCCACCTGCTGGCCCTAGGAAAAGGTTTTTGTTTGTTTTTTGTTAGCTTGTTTTTCTTTTTTTAAATTTTACCAGTGAGGAACAGAGTGAGCAAGAGAGAGAGAGAGAGAGAAATAAAGCCGCTAGATCTGGGACCTGAACCATGGTCAGCCATGTGGGAGTCCAGCGCTCTTAACCACCACCCCACCTGCCAGCCCCAGGAAAAGGTATTTTTAAGAAAACAAAGACGTTATTTCTGTTTAAAGCACCTTACATTTAAATAGATATGAATAAATATTAAGAAAGCCAATTAAATTATTAACCCACATATGCATATACACACTAAATAAAAGGTAAACAGTGAGGCAACCAGCAAAATCAAGAAATCTAGTAAGAAAGATCTGATTTTAAGTCAAGCTTCATCACCTATTAACAGTATGACTTTAGAAAATGACTTAACCTTTACACTGTGAGGGATCAAGAGATTACGAACCGAAAGTAATCTGAAACACTAAACACATCACATTTTATAAATCAAAATGACAACCTTCTTTTAGAATTGGAAGCGTCTTGTGAGATCTAGTATAATCCTCGATTTACAGCTAAAGAAACTAAAGCTGAAGATCAAATAGAGTCAGTTTCATGGAGCAATGGTAATGCACTGCTCTAAGAAAACTAGATCTTACATGGCTACCGCAATTCGAATCCCTAGCCTGGTCAGCCTGAAATATACCAGGCAGTGTGCAAGTGACCGGGATCCAATGGGCTGGAGGACTGGAGAAAGGAACCTGCAGTGTAACCAGACTTTATTGACAGTTAGCCTTTCTCTCACTCTCAAGGACACTCACACTCTACCATGAATAAAGGAGGAAAAGCTAAAAAAAAAGCAGTAAAATTTCAGATAGCTAGTCACCAATAGAATCAGATACACCAAGGGCCTCAAAAAGTTCATGGAAAAATAAGTTTGAAGTACAAGTTTACATGCAGAAAGTTGTTGAAATCCATGCACAGTTTTGCATTATAGTCATTTTCCATTAACTTTTTGAAGATCCAGATTAAAACTCAGAAAGTATAATAATATAGTTCAGAGTGCTGGCTCTGGGATTCAACTGCTAGGTTCAAATTGTGGATTTACCACTCGCAGCTTTGTGACCTTTCAGAAGTTACTAAACCTCTTTGAGCTCGTCTATCTGCAAAATGAAGAGAATACTATTGATAGATCCTACTTCACAGGCTTGTTGTGATGATTGCATGGGATAATACATCTAATGTACTTACAATAACGCTTGGCAAATAGAAATTGCTCAATAAATGAAAGGTAGGACTGCCGTTATCATCAGCTCCTCTTTCTGCTATACAGTTGCATCCCTGTTCTGAAATAAAATCCTTAGCATAGTCAAATAGCCATACGGCAAACTCATTAACACTTAAGTCTCTGATAATACAATATGAACAGGAGTATCTGAAAACACTTGTGGAATCTTATAAAACTTTTGCTCAAGATGGAAATACTTTTCAGCAAAACAACAATGTAATTAATGAACATAAACTGAGAAACAGAGTAACAATATAATAATGACTCCAATTACCCGGTGGACTCCTTCCTATATGTTTGTCCACAGTTTAAGTTCCAGACCTGGTGGTTTGCTATCTCACTTTCCCTCTCTCTCTGGTCAAATCTGAAAAAATAATAATAATAATAAAATTTTAAAATGTTGATGAGGGAATACTTCTGTTGAAATACTTTGATTTGGTCGAATTTCATCTTAATTGTATGAAAAACTCACAGTTGATGTGTTGAGTGCAAAAACCTCTCCAAAATAAAAAATTCTAAAAATAGGCTTATGATAATTTTTTTTGAAAGAGTTTCGCTATAGGGTGTGTGTGCTCGCCAGACAGACAGAGAGAGACATAGAGACAGAAAGCGAGAAATCACCCCCCAGGGGGGATGGTCACGCCGCAATCCCTTCTCCTCCATTCTCCTCTCGGGATCTTGGGCACGCACGCTCACGCGCCCGGCGTGAGTTTTAAGCCACCGGGTCCAGGACGCAAACCGCGGTCGACTACGTGGGAGTCCAGCGACATAGCCGTTACGCTAACTGCTGACTCCCAATAATTTTTTAAAAAGTATGCCATAGGTTAGTGCAATTGATTACTGTTAATATCTAAAAGTCCTTCTGTAGCAATGGAAAGAAATCAGAAACCTCCTGAAGTGACAGGTGTCAATTAAGAGGAAAGGAACAAACTAGGCCTAATTCTGCCTACACACAAAAGATCAAAATGGCTTATTACAGTGGTTTAAGTGGTAGTTTCACTTGATTGGGAGGGCTACAAAACACTTCAGAATATTGAAGTACAGTTGTCTGAAACAATTTTTCTTCTACCTCTAAATCTTGTGGTTGTCTTTATTTTAAAATTTAAAAAATTTATTCCTTCAATGAGAGAGAGAAAGACAGAGAGCATCCCCCAACAGGGTCTTGACGCAGAAATCCACTCCCAGTCTCAGCTAGCCCTGAATCATGGCAAGTGCTTACCCAGCGTACTCAAGGAAGTCTACAGATGCAAACCTGGAACCTTCCCTTATAGATCAGCCTCAAAAAACATCACCATTGGGGACCAGTAGGTGGTGTGGTGGTTAAAGCATTGGACACTCCCACATGGCCGACCATGGTTCAAGTCCCAGACCTGGTGGCTTGCTTTCTCACTTTCTCTCTCTCTCCCCCTGGTCAAATTAAAATAAATAAAATTATATTTTAAAAAATCACCATTTACCACTACACCACCATCAGGTCCCTGTAGTTGTCTTTAAAAGTATATATTCAAATGATTCTTTTTTGATAAAAAGCATTTGATAAAACTTGATTTATAAACTAAAAGTATGCTATTTTTGAAAGTTATTACCGATTTTATATGCAGTCAAGTTTTAAAATTATTTCTAAGTAATGTATGACATGTAAAAAATAAAGTCCATACCCCAAGTCAAGAAAAAAAATGAGGAAGAGATTTTTAAAAATTAAATAAAGTGAGTTAACAAATTTTCCTTAGGGCAATTACATATTATAGTTTTACTCATACTAAAATAAGCCAAAATCTAGATTTACCTAATAAAGCTTAACATGCCCACAATAGTTACTAATTACACCAGTTCGTAGATCCATAAACCAGAGCATAAAGCCATTCTTATAAAAGCAAAAAGCCTAAACTATAATGTAGGAGGGATAAGGTTTTCTTTGGGCATTTACAGACAAATTTTGTGACTATTAACTCTGCAGTTTATAATATCTGGGATTATCTAGCTTTATTTGCACCCAATTAAAACATTTTTAATCCTAAATGAAACCATTTTCTGTGGGCAAACAAAACACTATTCTTTTTTCTCTGTAGTTATCAAAAGATATTTCAGTTTTTTCTTGGTAAGCCCAGAACAGTTTCTAAAACATTTATTCAATCTTTATTCAACATTTATTCAAAACAAAACAGTTTCAAAGACTCTGAACCAATACTTACCATCGATTTTTTAAAAAGTTTTCACTCTAGGGCACGTGCTCTCGCCAGAAAGACAGAGAAAGACAGAGATAGAAAGTGAGAAATCACCCCCCAGGGGAGATGGCCACCCCATAACCCCTTCTCCTCCATTCTCCTCTCGGGATCTTGGGCATGCACACACATGCACGAGGCGTGAATTTAAGCCACCAGGTCCAGGGCTCAAACCGCAGTCTACTACATGGGAATCCAGTGACATAGCCATTACGTCAACTGCTGGTCCCAATCTTCTTGAGATTGTGAGTGCACATGCATCTGGCATGACTTCTAAGCTGCCAGGCCCTGAACCATGGTCAGTCATGTGGGAATCCAGAGCCTTTAACCACCACGGCACCTGCTGGCCCCCCTACCACCAATTTTGGAAATTTTTTAATTTTTAAAAAAGTATTTATTTAATTCCATTTGTTATTATTATTTTTTAAATTTGACAGAC